CTTTTTTTTATACCAGTAGAAGCAGCATATCATTCGTCCGTGAATACACTGTAATCTATAAGTAAGTGCGATTGAAAATTATATTTTTCACTTGCACTTTCTTGGCACTTTTTGCATGTCGAATCCTTATGGAGGCTGGTATCGAGTATAACGTTTTGTAATTTTAACAGACCGTTTTGTAAAATCATATTGACGTTAATATTGATCACTGGGATTTTCCTCAAACTTTCGTGTTTGCAGTGACACAACAAGTTTTGCTTATAATTAGGCTAGGAAAATCTGTGAATAAGTGTTCCGCTAGATACGCGTTGCAATTCGTATTTAAATACATTACGTTTGCTCGATAAAGTGTAACTTCGAAAATTGATACATCGACAAGAATATTCGCACGTTCTTGATAAATCTTTCTTGTTATCTTGTTACTATTTATCATTGTAATTTTTTTTTGCGAAATTACGAAAAGTGTTATTTCGATTAATAACAATCATAACTTTCGTTAGTAATGCATTTCGTTACTAATGTATTAGTTATGATTTGAGTTAATGAATCGAACGCACAAGTCTCGCGAACCACGATAAAGTTATCATCGTAACGGGATGCTTTAAGCAAACTACCATTTTTTAATACGGGTACGGTAATTCTTTGTAAAGTCTCCATGCTATCCCATTGTGGACAATCGTCCAAATAAGTCAATTTTCGCTTTTTTTTTTTAATTCTAGATCAATTTGATCAACGTTTGACTTTCTTTTAGCGGTTAAACCTCGTCAATTTTCCACAACATCCCACATATTTTTTTTATTTTCTGTATCCTGTATTTTGCATACTGTATTTTCGTTAGCGGTCGCTAATAAAGTTTTGTCCTGAAGAAAATCACACGAAAGAAACATGTTTGATGACGAATTTATCGATTCGTAGTGGTAATTCACCTCTAAATAATCTCTGTTTCAGGTCTGCGAATGTTGCTTCGACTGCTGAGGACGTAGCCACAATTTTATTACATTGAAAGTGAGAGCGCATAATACCTGTTCACAAAGGTAAATAGGAAATTCAATTTTAGTGCGATTTGTGGATTATAGAATGCATTTACGACAGAACCTGAGGTAGATTTTGTCGCAGTAGTCTCTGCTGATTCAAAAATATACTTCGCCCATTCCGTCCATCCAATGGCATTTTCACTAGACTCATCAAACTGTGTTTCTTCAGTGATCTCTTCTTTGTCAACAGGATCTTCAATCGTTGATCCTTTGATAACGCTATTCACTGATCTTGGATTATGTTCTGAAAGAAGAAGATCAGAAATATCGTCACAACCTATGTCTTCACTCAAGTAACAACCATTATAGATACTACTAATAACGATTTAATACTTTGTACATCGTTCATTTAATAATGATGTCCTTCTTGATATCTCGATACTTCTTAAATAAAATTAGCGAACTTTTGCCACTTTACCGCGAAGGCAGTCCCATTTAGAAATCATGCCAATTAATATCTAATCTGATGTAGCAACTTGGCAATTTTTCTTGTTTTTCTAAAATGATAATATTATATAATATTTGCAAATAATTATTTGTATTCGAGAAATTTGCAAATGCTGTCGCTACTTTTAAAAATCTTGACGTATTTAAAAGTAAACGCACATGGAATTTTTTCTGCTCCTATATTAGTGATCCCATAGTGACGCTGAACACTATGCGCGTTTTATAGCTTTATATACTGAATGTAAAGCAAAATTTTCTGATTATTTGTTGCAAAAACCAAAAAAAAGATGCAGACGTAATTGTCAAATGCAGATTAAAGAACTATCAGCCAGTATTTTTTCATAAAAAAAGCGTCAATTAAAAGGACATTTGCTTCAGAAAATAGCATCACATTTGTTAGATGGCAAACAACGAAACAAAACGTTTAATGGACAATGGCGATTCCTTTCCGATATTATATAACGCTACAGTGCTATGAAAAGTCAAACAACAAGAAACGTCGTCTCGAATTACAATCCCATTCTTAATTTAAACGTAAGCGAAATATAAATTCCTTGTAGGCATTTTACGCAATTTAGGATTTGATTCATTCTTCTGCATGTACTGCATAGAGGAACAGAAATTACTCTATAAAACTGTTACAAATACAAATCATAACAATTTTTTAATAGTAGATGCTACAGGAAATTTGTAAAGCAAAATTTTCTGATTATTTGTTGCAAAAACCAAAAAAAAGATGCAGACGTAATTTTCAAATGCAGATTAAAGAACTATCAGCCAGTATTTTTTCGGAATGGGCGAAGTACATTTTTGAATCAGCAGAGACTACTGCGACGAAATCTACCACAGGTTCTGTCGTAAATGCATTCTGTAATCCACAAATCACACTAAAATTGAAAAATTTAATTTCCTATTTACCTTTGTGAACAGGTATTATGCGCTCTCACTTTCAGTGTAATAAAATAATGGCTACGTCCTCAGCAGTCGAAGCAACATTCGCAGACCTGAAACAGAGATTATTTAGAGGTGAATTACCACTACGAATCGATAAATTCGTCATCAAACATGTTTCTTTCGTGTGATTTTCTTCAGGACAAAACTTTATTAGCGACCGCTAACGAAAATACAGTATGCAAAATACAGGATACAGAAAATAAAAAAAATATGTGGGATGTTGTGGAAAATTGACGAGGTTTAACCGCTAAAAGAAAGTCAAACGTTGATCAAATTGATCTAGAATTAAAAAAAAAAAGCGAAAATTGACTTATTTGGACGATTGTCCACAATGGGATAGCATGGAGACTTTACAAAGAATTACCGTACCCGTATTAAAAAATGGTAGTTTGCTTAAAGCATCCCGTTACGATGATAACTTTATCGTGGTTCGCGAGACTTGTGCGTTCGATTCATTAACTCAAATCATAACTAATACATTAGTAACGAAATGCATTACTAACGAAAGTTATGATTGTTATTAATCGAAATAACACTTTTCGTAATTTCGCAAAAAAAAATTACAATGATAAATAGTAACAAGATAACAAGAAAGATTTATCAAGAACGTGCGAATATTCTTGTCGATGTATCAATTTTCGAAGTTACACTTTATCGAGCAAACGTAATGTATTTAAATACGAATTGCAACGCGTATCTAGCGGAACACTTATTCACAGATTTTCCTAGCCTAATTATAAGCAAAACTTGTTGTGTCACTGCAAACACGAAAGTTTGAGGAAAATCCCAGTGATCAATATTAACGTCAATATGATTTTACAAAACGGTCTGTTAAAATTACAAAACGTTATACTCGATACCAGCCTCCATAAGGATTCGACATGCAAAAAGTGCCAAGAAAGTGCAAGTGAAAAATATAATTTTCAATCGCACTTACTTATAGATTACAGTGTATTCACGGACGAATGATATGCTGCTTCTACTGGTATAAAAAAAAGAGTGCGACATTTGGTCCTATACCTAAAATATTAAAGATAAACGAACAGAATTATGCTATAGCTGATGCAGTATCATATCATCAATATGCCAGTGATAAAAACGATGGACATTATACAGCAAATGTTTATCATACATCCGGTTGGTATTTATATGATGATATGGTAATTAAACGAAGAATAGCATCAGATGGCGAACAAGTGGCATTGGCTCATACTGCTGTCACCTTAGATATATATATTTGCTTGATATAAGAGTTTTAGAATATCTTAAAAATAAGCGTGCAGCTGAGGTCACATTACTGGAATGAACAATACCAAGTTTGTAGAATTTGGACCAGAACTTGGAACAGAAGTTTGAGATTGAAGGAAAGAGATCTAGAAGAAAAGTATTTTTACCATGTAGAAAATACGTGTATACGGATGTTTTGCGAAGACTGGAAATGTCAATAGAGCCGAAATTCCGTGTAGCAGTAGGTGCGCGGTCTTGCGATAGATGGTACTGGCACATGTTACATAAGGACAAATGTATGCGTTTGAGTAAGACAAAACGATATATAATATAATGTAAGAAATGAATGAAAGATGTCACTATTATCGAATTTGAAATTAAAAAGTCTGTACTATCGACCTCGGTTCAGTAATTGGTTTAGGATCCTCTTAAGATTGAAAGTGGTTCGTAATCCTTTATTATATTATTTTAATAAATTAAGTTTTTGTTGGGTGCGGCGTATATACCAGAGTTATATCTATGTCTTTTTATAGCAAATATTATTAATTATTGAAAAAGAATTGCGATTTTTAGTAGGATAGTACTTCGAATCATTTATCTTAAATAATATTTAAATTGTCTCCATTTTTCTCTTTCCTGAAATAAATTAACAAACAATATCAAATCTATAGGACCGTATATGTGAAATAATTATGTGTGAATTTATATATTACATAGAGTATTTGCGTGCCGAAATAATTGTTCAATCTTGAAACGCAAACTCCACTGAACTTCCGCAATAATTATATCACGAATTAAATTGACTAGTAATTTAACAGTTCGATTCTCTTACAGATCTTAGAACGATCTTAATAATGCTGAATGACATATTAAAATCTATAAATAATTAATTTTTATTGTAAAAAATATTACCGAGGTCTGGAGTCCGAATCTCTAGTACTCCGTGTGAACGTTCTAAGCCTTTAAACTAATGCCTAAATAATAGCCTTTAGACTAAAATCTTAATAATATTCTTCGCAATAATTGGCATATGTAGAAATAACGTTTTATTTAAGACATAATATAAACAATTTTACGTCTTAAATAAGCAATTTTAACGTAATAACGACGTAAATAAACAATTTTAAATCTATATGATCGTACATGTGAGAACACAACAATAAATTTACAAATTTTGCCTTTAATTTGATTATACAATCTCCTATTCTTTACTCAAATACAAAGATATGTATGCGTAACACAATTCTATGAAGACTAAAATTTTTAATTTTATAATTCACGCGCGAATTTAATAATCTAAAAATTTTTTTATGAACCTTTTGTTTTTTTGGCTTGCAGGCTTTTAAGATTTCGCAGAGCAATGCCGGTAAATGGTCGAACCCTTAATGTTACAACGGAAATTTACCAGATTGCCGACAGTGAACTGCTTAAAACGTTCTTCGTGAGTCCGGCCGGCAACCTGTGCTTCCACGGCAAATGTAGTTATTATTGCGATACGGCACATGCTGTTTGCGGCAGTCCCGATACTTTAGAGGGTAGCTTTGCCGCTTTTTTACCAGATAAAGCTTTTGCGGCCAGAAAAGCTTGGCGGCATCCTTGGCGTAGAAGTTATCATAAACGGAAGAAGGCGCAATGGGAACATGGTAAGACACAATTATTTTCTTAGAAAGATATCTTAGAAATCTAAAAACTAAATTTAAAAAAAAATGTAAGGTTTTTTTCTTTTTATTTCTATATTACAATAAAATTATTATAGTCAAAGTAAATATTCCTTTTTTGCATTCTTCTTCTTTATAAAGATTTTCTAGATGTTTCGCGAGTTTTTTCCGTGTCCAGATTCATTCTTGGAATGCCAACGTTTCGTGAATCTTGCAGTCCACCTTATCAGAGTGAGGAGCAGTCTGATACTGAACTATTTCTCTGGGTCCTTTTATATTACGCTTGTTGGAGTGATGAGGGGAGGGAGGGTGGTAGAGGAAATCGGTCGAAACGTTGGCATTTCAAGAATGAATCTGGACACGGAGAAAACCTGCGAAATGCATAATCTTTATATAGAAAGCATCCGTGAAAGCCTCAAGAATATTCTTCTTCTTTATTTTTCATTATCTATGTTTAATATGGTATTGGCATAATCTTATTAGGAAGATTCACATACCAAGGTGAAATAATTGTTAAATAACGACTTCAAAATTATTCATTAGGCTGTTTATTCCAATCAAATTAATTAATTAATCAAATGATATGATTATTTACACGTTATCAGACTTGAAATTTAGATACATACGAAAACAGAAATTTTCAACATGTGAGCAAATCGAAAATCTTAACATAAACAAAATAGAAATCTTCTGTGCACTTAAACACCGAAATCTTATCGCAAACTGCAGAAATCTTCAGATATTCTCACATGAAAATTTTGCGTGCCTTACGCATGAAATACTGGACGCATTCAAGTTGATAAAGCGACTAGCCTGCTCGTCGAGCAAATAAATATGCGGATTGATTGTTACTTATAGATTCAACCAATTACATTCAACATTCGACGAACAAACTAGCAGCTTTGTCCGGCCCATTTATTTGCAAAAGCTATGTACGATAACTTGAAGATTTATCGTCTACATTCGGTTCGATTCTGATTATTAATACGAGAACACACAGAATCGGTCAGCGAGAACACAAATAAAACACAAAAGATAAATAATTAGAACTTATTGATTAGAATCTAGCAGCAAACTGAGCATTGATCATGAGACGAATAATGCTCAAATGTCTAATTTTTGGGAGTGACAATAATAACCTGCGTTACGTATGCAACATATAAATAAACTCTAACAGCACAAGACATCCTCAGGACAATCTTGAATACGTCCTGAATATTCTGAAACATATATGTGTGAGAATGCAGGATCATCTTAATTCTATCGATATCGATTCTTGTATCAATCAATCCGTGCATCGATCGGTGTATCGCTGAGAGCAGTGCTTGTGGCGCGCGAGTAGCATTAGGATGTGAGATACAGAGGTATAAAGAATGGATGGCGAGTGATTCTTTCGTGCGTGAGTCCAGCGACTACATTTGAGGGCTCGTCCGGGATAGTAACTAGAAATCGAGCAGTGTAAAAGAACAATTTATGATGCGGGAATTGTATCGAGGAAGCAAGAGATTGGAAAGGCGGGAACGAGGCGTGTTCCACGTGTACGGTGTGTAAAGTAACGTGTACGATGATTAGGAAGATATTTGTCGAGCAAGGCAACCACAGACATCATGACGGACGAAGGAACAACCGAGGAGATAACACAAGGACTTGAGCAGCTAGATCTGCCAAAGATAAACAACAAGGCGACGAAGAAGAACGAAGGGCGTTAATGACGGCAACAACAATGACAGTGACGGCGATAATGGCGGCGACAACGCGCAAGAAGAATTAAATGTAGATGCGATGTTAAAGGTAGAGCTACAAAAGCAGCTATCTAATTTAGGGCTACCGACATCCGATTTCAAAGCTACTTTACGCGATAGATTACACTGCTTTAGAAGCAGACGCGAGTGATGCGGATGAAATCGATAGTACATACGAGATGGCGAACCAGATGATCGGTGGAAGATCAATGACGACGACAACGCGTGATCACGCTGGCTCGAGAAGGAAACGAACGGTGGCGACCTCCCACGATGATCGAGTGACCTTCAAAGCGAGTCACAAACGTGAGGTGATTACAGGATTTACGACTCTAATCTTCAAAGATATTGAGGAGTCATTAGGAACGTTTAGCGGTGATGGCGCTCAAAATATAATGATGGCTAATATCATTCTAGAGGAAACGGCAGACATGTGGACAGATGCACAAAAGATGATATATGCTAAGGCAGTTGCGCGGATCCGTAAAACTATTTGTAAATTTCCAGTGTCGCTTACGAATATGGAGGGATTTAAAGAGTGCTTTAATAGAAGAGTTTGCCAAAACGATGAACAGCAGGCAGGTGCATAAGCTAAGCGCTGTCAAGAAGAAGTCTGATGAATCATATTAAGAGTATACTTACCAAGTATTATGTTAGAATTGGCGAGTCATGCGAATATCGATAGAAGCCAAGGTTCAATATATAATTGACGGAGTAAATGATGAAGAATCTTATAAATTTATCTTATACGGTGCGACGACAATTAAGAATATGCGACAACGTTTCCTGCAATATGAGAAGCAGAAAATTAATCGAGATAAGCTGAAGCAACAATTGGCTATGGCCACTAAGAAGAAGATTGCAAATCAGACGCCGGCAAACGCAACAAGCAAGATGCAATTTAATTGTGGTGATACTAAGCATTTAGGCAAGGACTATCCAAACAAGATGAAAGGACAGAAGCGCTACAGTTGCAATGAATCAGGACACATCGCAGCCAATTGTCCCAAAGGTTCGACACCAGGAAATAAAGACTACTTTGGCGAAATGTAACACAGTATATTCGCAGAATGACAAGAGGACGTATATATGTATTGGGTGGATCCATATATTCGTTCGCTTTTTGAAGGCTAAAATGAAACAAGTTTTTTTCATACAAAGGATGAATTTTAATCAATAATATATTCTCCGTTTTTGTTGATGACCTCTTGCCATCTTTCCAACAATTTCATTATTCCGCTCTCATAGAAGGTCTGGGGCTTAGAGGCGAAAAACCGGTCGAGGTACGTTTTCACAGCTGTCTGATCAGCGAACGATTTCCCGTTGAGGGAGTTTTGCAGGGACCGGAACAAGTGATAGTCGGATGGCGCAAGGTCTGGTGAA